GATCCCAGGGTCCTGGGATCGAGCCCCAGGTCAGGCTCCCTGTTCCGTGGAGAGTCTGCTTCTCCCTCTCCGTTTGCCTGCTGTTCTGCCTGCTTGTGTGCTCTCTCTCTCTGTCAAATAAATAAATAAAATCATTTAAAAAAAAATGTGACTGGTGAAACATCTAGATTATGCATAATTTTTACTCTATAATTTACACTTTTCTGTATTTTCAAAAATGCCTAAATTTTTAAAAACTAAGAATGTAGTCATTGCCAAATTAATTTTATTATTATTACTACCAATACAACATTATCTAGTTTACTTTAATGCTTTTGGCTAGCCAAAAATGCAGAAAAACCTCTTGTGCCTAATCATCTACCAAGCAAAAGTGTGACCTAGATCAGGTAGCTCAGCCTAGGACTATCGCTGACGTGATTTTTATCCAGCAACAGGAAAATTCTGTTTTTTTGTTTTTTGGGTTTTTATTAAGTAAAGAATATGAGATCCTGGCAACTTCCTGCACTGCCTCTTGGTATATATCCCTAGTGCACTTAATTCTTGTTAATATTTGCTTAGAAAAGTAAAAACAACAATATCTAATATATTCAGGGCTTACCAAGTGCCATTGTCCAAAATACTTTACCTGTATTATCACACTATATAATTTATATTCCAAAATATACCTCAAAGCCATCTACTTCCCTCCATCTTCATTGCTAACTACCCTGGCTTAGCCCCAGCCTTGTTTGCCTAGATAACTCCCAAATGATCTCTTTAATTCACCCTCTCCTTTCTGATCCATTTTCCACACAGTAGTCAGACTGATAATTTTTAAAATATTGCCCCCTTTTTTTAAACCTATGGCCTAAAAGGCTCCGATGCCTCTCAAACTTCATTTCATACCCTATCCCCCTGTACCCAAGCCACAGCAGTTTTCTTTTCTGGTCCTGAATACACCAGTCTGGTCTTTAGGGTTCCTATTTGCTCTACCTGGATTGATCTTCACCTGGCTTGCTCATTTTCATTGTTCAAGACTTAACTCAGTCACCACCTCCTCAGCATATCTAATGAAATGGCCTCTGCTAGCTACTTTCTAGCCCATCACCCAATTTACTTCTTTCACAGCACTCAGACATGTTTTCTCGTTCCCGGTGTCTGCCCAATAAAGGTGGATACTATGTCTGTCTTGTTCAGCACCACAGCACCAGCAACAATGCCTCGCCTTGGATCTCTTTGTTGAATTGAACCTCACTCTCTAAAGGTTATGAGGTGCATAGTATAGTTAGTATCATTTTACAGTTAAAAATCCTATCATTAACTTGAACTACATAGAATCATGGTGTCAGCCTGCCAGAATGTTCTTTCATTGCTAGTTATTCAAAGTGGCGTGGGGGTGGCGGGCATAACAAAACAAAATTCTTGTCAGATTAGAGAAAACAATAAAACACAAAAATTTAATTTATACCTTTTTATTTAAAACTACACTTCTATTAACCTCAGATTTAAGCAAAAGCACATATCTGTTAATCTGGTATGCTGTACTTAAAGGAGCATCCTCCCATCTCAATTTTTGCCAAATGAGGCAAGGCATAAATATATGAAAAATAAGTGCTCTATGCAAAGTCAGAGGAACTTAAAAAGGAAATATTTACTATAGAAACTAAGTCACATTTTTATCATTTAAGAGGATTATGTTTATTATAAATTGTTTGAAAAACAAAAGGTTAATAAAAAAATTTTTCTAGAGAAACTTACTGTTAATATATATTAACTGTACTTTTTTCTAGTTTTACCTAACAGTATAATAGCATTTTCCCATGATACTATTCTTCTAAATTGATTTTTTAAGCGCATAATAAAGGCACCAAAATATATTTCAGTTTCCAACTCTCTATAACTATAAACGTTATCAATTTATTACTATGAATAATGAACTTGTGCACACATCGTAATACCTGTCTGATTATTTCTTTATGTAACTTTAAATAGAATCACGGGGCGGAGCGGGGGTGGGGGGAGGGCGGCGCAGCACCTGGGTGACTCAGTCAGTTAAGCATCTGCCTTCGGCTCAGGTCCTGATCCCAGGGTCTTGGGATCGAGCCCCACGTGGGGCTCTGTGCGGAGTCCGCTAGTCCCTGTCCCTTTGCTCTTCCCTCCTACCCCCGCTCTCTCTCAAATACATAAAACCTTTAAAAAAAAAAATAGAACCACTGGGTCAGAAGGTATAAACCTTTAAAGTTTTTTTTTTTTTTTTAAAGATTTTATTCGCTCATTTGACAGAGAGCGCACACAAGCAGGGGGAGCAGCCAGCAGAGGGAGAGGGAGAAGCAGGCTCCCTACTGAGCAGGGAACCGGAGGCGGGGCTCCTCGATCCCAGGCCCCCGGAATCATGACCTGAACAGAAGGCAGACACCCAACCAACTGAGCCACCCAAGAGCCCCTAAAGTTCTTTTCATAAAATAACTGACCTCCAAAACACTGTTCAACTCTAAGTCCCAATCAATAGAAAAAGAGAGTTCCTGCTTTCCTGTACCCTCAGTATGAGGTATCATTATGTAAAACTTAGCCAATATGAGACAGGAAATGAGTAGCAAATCCTTAAACTTACATTTCTATGCTTATTGGTAAGTATGGTACATTTTTACACTTTTATTGGCCACTTGAACTCCTTTATGAACTCATTCATTTCCTTCAGCCATTTTTTTTCTTTTTTTTTTTTACTGTAAGATACATTGGTTTCTAAGAATTCTTCATAAATTCGGAATACTACTTTTGTAACTGCCCTGTCCAATACAGTAGTCACTGTTCACTGAGCACTTGAAATGTGACTATTCTGAACTAAAATGTGCTAAATGTAAAATACACACTGGACTTCAAAGATGTAGTACAAAAAGATGATGTAAAATATCTCAATCTTTATCTTGATTACATATTGAAATCTTTTTAATATACTGGATAAAATAATACTAAAATTAACTATCTGTTTTTACTGTTTCACATATGGCTATCAGACAACCCAAGGTTACATACATGGCTCACGTTATCTTTCTTTTGGACAGTGATCCTCTACAATACTATTTTCCTTTTCACCTTTAAACTGAGCTTTCAGTGTATAGGCATTTCTCATTTTTAAGTATGCAGATAAAGCAATTGTTTCCCTTAAGGTTTCCTTCTCTCCTTCTTAAGTTTACCCCCTCTGCCATACAGGAATTTTAGAAGCATAAACTTTATTTCTTGACAAAGAAAAACATCTGTTTTGATTTTTTTTTCCCCAAAAGTTCTTCAAATATTCTTTTCTTCTTACATTCATCTACTTAAATAGTACCCTTTTTCTAAATGCTTTCTAAATTTTACCATAATGGCTGCCCTTTTAAAAACTGTTTCAGTTAGTACTGGAACTAAATTTTCACAAAGAAGGTTATTTTTAAAACCTACTATGTGTTAAGTGTGAAAACACATTTTAATTTTCTATTGATAAACATTCCAAAGAACTTTGCAAAGTCATTCTGACTGAAGAAACAGGTACTTATTATCTGTGGTTCACAGGCGGATGAGACAAAGAGTACATAATTTTCGGCATGATGACAGCTACAGAGAATAGGAATAACAAATTACACTATTTTAAGTCCTTTCTACCAACTTAGAAGGCAGTTTAGCCAATATACCTAACTTAAGTGTAAAATGCCAAAACTGCTTGGACAATAGAATCAACTATGCTAGAAAGTTTACTTGGGGATTCTGGAGTACTGTATAATCAGAAGATTCATTTTGTTCATAAGAGAACCAGCTATATCGCCAATAGAGAAAAATTCAACTTTTTTTTTTTAATGCTTTCAATGGTTAAAGAAAACATATTCATTCTAGAAAATTTGAAAAATTCAACTTTTCTATACCCACCAAAAAGCCCCAGAACATGTTAAAAGTAACCCTTCTGAAATTTTAAAAGCCAGTTTTTATATTTATTGCAAATAAAAGATACTAATATATTCTAATTTATCTGCATAGCACAGGCGTCACTATAACTTATGTTACTTGTAGACTTGAATGACTCGACTACAAGTTCTAACTTCTATTGCCAGGCCACAAACATGCTACAAATTTTTTCAAACATGAATTTTTGGGAAATGTTTCTGTAAATACTCTGTATGCTCAAGAATCTAAGGAATTAGACTAGGGGTGGATTTGGTTCTGTGTTTTTCCCTCTGTTCTCAAGGGGTCAAGCTATGGCAAAAAACATAGGTAAGCCTGACTAAAACCTACAAGTTCAATGCTATTTTGGAAACTGTGGGACAACTTAAATTTGAGTCAAAAAAGAATATGTAAAGAGAGGAATAAAAATTCTCGTCAACCACCTTTTTCTGGGTTACAGCTCCAGGACACAGGATTTAACCAAAAAGACTGTTAACAGAGCTGAAGAGTTAGTTCTTTTGCTTTACGATCCAAAACTGGGCTCATTCAATGACTGCAGCATGGTCATATCCTCATACTCAATGATTCGTAAATGATGAGTGGCACCCCCATCCCTCCCTCCCTCCCTCCTTTTTAGGAAATTTAAGAAAAAAAGTTGGGAAAACGGGAAAAGGAGCAGGGCAACAAAATCTGTTGACCCCAAGACGCTCAATGAAGGGGAGTCGGTGAAATCGAAAGACCCTGACACTTTTAGGATTCCGCAATTTCTCATTACCTACGGGAGAGGGGTTGTCATCGGGGGACACCGCAATGCGCACGTAGCGTTTTATCTGGTACAAAGTAGTTGGCTTCATGTATGTGACCCAGCCGGAGAGCTACCCGCAAGTTTCCATGGGAGTCGTGCTAGGGCCTTAGGCAAAACCAGGGTCTGGGAGAGCTGTCAGAAGTCTCCGCCAGCTGGGCGGGCTGAATTGCAAAGACAGACCCGAAAGGAAGGTTCTGGGGTTGGGGAAGGGCAAGCGGGCGAAGTGCCGGAGGCGAGGTGCCGAGCCCGGCCTGCTCCTCCAGGCCCGCTGCCGTGGAGCCAGCGGCCGAGGCGGGACACTCACCCTGGCGCTCGCTGGAGCCGTGGGCCGCCGCCCTGCAGCGCAGACGGAGCCGGCACAGGGAGGACCAGCTACATCTGTGGGCCGCAGCGGCGGCGGCCAAGCCCGGTAACATCCTGGCGGGGCAAAGGCCCCCACTCGGACACCACCTCCTGCCTCCGCGACGCCGCGGGGAACTGACTCCATAGACCGGACACCTGCTAACACTCACGCCTGCGCCGCCGCTGCGGCCTCATTGAACCGGAAATGGTAACATCATTTATCGGCGCCGGTCGCGCAGGTGACGGAAGTGACGTAGACAAGGAGTACAAATCTGGAGGCCTTGTCTCCGCCGACCGAGACCCGCGGCGTGGGCAGGGCGTGGCTGCAGTCAGGGTTCGGTGTCCGCCCTTCTTTTTCCCGCATCTGTATCTTTTCGCTTTAGTCGGAAATCATCGCGTATCGTTTTCATCTGAACAGCTAGGAAAGCTTTGGGACAAGTGACAGGGCCTTTTCCGGCATCTGCCTGCTCCTTTCTATTTTGTGAGCTCGAAATTTGGGCGGTGGTGTTGGAAATGGGAAGAAAGGTGGAAAAGAAGGATGCTGGTTTTCTTAACCTCTTTCGGGAGCCTTCTTGGATGAGCCTAAGCGGCGGCTAACGTACCGAACTCAGTACTCTCCGAACATTGCCACAGTACGTCGTTCTCCTCTTTGTAACACACTTTTGTGTAGCCAGTACATGAAGGCAAGTACTCACTTTGGAATCAGTACTTGCCTTACTAACCTCTGAACCTCAGATTCTCGTGTGTAATGTAGTAAAGTAAGGCTTTCATATGTTCAAGATTTGCCTGAGTAAAGGGAGATGTGCAGACATTGGAAAAGGAGTCAGTCTGGTTCTAGAGAGAAAGAGACCGGAACAATATTCACCGCGGTGTTTACCCCTTACACGCTCGTTCAGGTCTCAGCGTAAACTCGGGAGAGGCTTTCCTTAACCCTGGCCAGTGTAGTAGGGCTGGTTATTCTCTGCCGGGTTGCCTTGTATATTTTCTTCAAAATGCTTATCACTATTCGGAATTATCTGTGTATTTATTTTTTTTAATTTTCTGTCTCTCAGAATAGAAAATAAGCATCAGGATGCTGGAATCTTAGGTTTTGTACATTGCTGTTTTCAAGAGGGTAAAAAACAATAGCTGGCACAACAAGTAAGTTGAGGGGAATGCATGGTGGTTTGTTTTGAAATCAATCTGAGTAGCTTAACTATGTTACTACACAATAACTATTTCAAAGAGAAATAAATTAGCATGTTCCTAGAATCAACAGTCTTATGCTAATTTAGATAACCGGTTTGTGAAGTCATAGTGATGAAATTATAAGAATGGTAAAGTTAGCTTCTGTGACAAACATAGTTTAAACGTTAAATGGTCAGGGCATCTCAGTGGCTTAGTCGGTTAAGGGTCCCCCTTTTTTTTTTTTTTTTTAAGATTTTTTTACTTATTTGACACAGGGAGAGAGGGCGTGCTGGCCCTCCAGAGAGCACAAGCAGGGGGAGTGGCAGAGGAAGAGGGAGAAGCAGACTCTCCGCTGAGCAGGGAGCCAGATGGAGCCAGATGAGGCTCAATCTGAGGACACTGGTATCATGACCCCAGCCAAAGGCAGAGGCCCAACCTACTGAGCCACCCAGGTGCCCCTAAGCGTCCCACTCTTGACTTCAGCTCAGGTCATCATCTCCGGATGGTGGGATGGAGCCCCACAGGGAGCCCTCCCCCTTTGGTCCTACCCCCCCCCTCTCGTGCAGCACTCTCTTCCCCCTCTGTCTCTCTCAAATAAATAAAAATCTTTAAAAAAAATTAAATAATTTCACCACTTACTTGGTTACCTTCCTTCACTTAAAAAAAATTAAGTGGACATTTAAAAATGGGCCATAAATATGCATAACTTCACGATTACTCAAATATCTGAATATTACTGGAAAGTTATCTCTTCCTTGTAATAGATTTTAATGGAAATTCAACTCTATGATATAAAATACATAAAGGCTTAGCTCTAATTTTATGTAAATATCCATTGGCCTTCACTACTAATGCTTACCTGCTTTGGATTCTTTTTTTTTTTTTTTTTTTTTAAGATTTTATTTATTTATTTGAGAGAGAGAGAGCACATGAGAGGGGGGAGGGTCAGAGGGAGAAGCAGACTCCCCGCCAAGCAGGGAGCCCGATGCGGGACTCGATCCTGGGACTCCAGGATCATGACCTGAGCCGAAGGCAGCCGCTTAACCGACTGAGCCACCCAGGCGCCCCCTGCTTTGGATTCTTAAAGTAGCCCCTCGTTTCTTAACTTGGATACCGTATTAATTTTGATAAACCTCCAGAAGTCTTGACTTGCCAAATAAATTTGAAGAATAAAGCGGATCATGCTGGGTTCTATCAAATAATAAGGTCTCCATGGACTTGGATTAAAATACTTCTGCAGCTGTCTTGGTGTTTACACCTATATTGTCATTATATACTTGTCCTGCTGGACAGTCCTCAAAATTTCCCCAAGTGCTGAAAATTGAGGCAATGTCAGTTTTAGAGTTCCTTAGGAGAATTTCCTTTGACCCTAAATTCTTTGAGAAATCCCATCCTTACCAAGATATTTTGCCTTACTGCTCCACTTCAGACACATTCAGCAGCTGCCTATATGTACAAAATGGGTAAGATTCCAATATCATGGAGCTTATTTTCTATCAGAGGAAACATAAAATTTAAAAATAAACACATAATTTCAAATAGTGATATTATTAGGGGTGTCTGGCTGGCTTAGTCGGTAGAGCATGCGACTCTTGATCTTGGGGTTGTGAGTTTGAGCCCCACATTTGGGGTACAATTTACTTAAAAAATATTAGTAATAATATTGATCACTTACTAATTGCCACACTCTCCATGTGCATCATCTCATTCATAACACTTAAGCAAGTTATAGATGAGGAAAATAAGGCAGAGATCTTGCTTTTTACCACCACACATTACTTTCTAAGTCAGTGGGTTTTATCCTCTGGAAGAAAATACGAGGTCTTTCAAAAGACTTGAATGACAACATGGTCTTTTGTTTCCTGAAATGTAGGTCAAGAGAGCATGTCCCTAGATTTTTTTATGTTATGATCAACATGATACTGAGTTTCAAAAAAATAAACTTTCATGAGGATTTGTGATATAAATAGACGCCTAAATATAGGTAACTGTTAAGTCAGAGAGATGGAAATAGAAGTAGGAAAGGAGTGAAGTGTCATTTGATTATTAGCACACACCACAACGCCTGCAGGGTTTTCCATGAACTCTGAATAAGTTCCTACATCTTTCAGGAATTTGCTTCTGTAATTGAGCTGACTGTTCCTTGGTTTCACCTTGTCTGTTGCTTTGGGAAAATAGTGATTGCTGATCATGAGACAAACTTGGCCATTTATTTGGAAAATTGACTTAGATAATCCATTGCAAGATAAAGTGAGTGGTTCTATCATGAGGTATACTAATAATACAAATTTAATTTTGAATGCATATATTTGTGGGCATCATGTTGATTTTTGCATGCAGGATTGGGGGTGGAGGGAGCTTGCCCACCTAAACACTTCAAAAAGAAAACAGCTTATGCGTGGATAAAAGGGAGACGACCTGGCCACAGCCGCGAGTGTCAATGCCTACTGTACAAACGTGGTCAGAAGCAGTGTGGGCCTGCACAGACATAGTTTGCATGTATAGGCAAACATCTGCATAAGTAAAGAAAGTGAAATGTGAATTTGATACGATGTCTGACCAGGCTGCTAATCCTCCTCTCCATTTTTCAGAGCTGTTGAGTGATTTTCCCAAAACCACTCAGCAAGGATGGGCTTGAACATGGAATCAGACACTGGTCCCCTGGCTCCAAATCTGTAGGTGTGTGAGCATGGGGTGCATGGGGGAGAGGCAGAGGTTGGTTGTTCTGATGGGTTTTGTCCCCACATTATTCTGTGAAGTAACTTGTTTCTTAATCACAATTATTACGTGAAAAAACTATATGGTAACTCCACTTGTGTTCAGATTCACTCTTTGCCACTTCCATCCAGGAATAAAAAGAGTGATTTCTCCAATGATGACCATATTCCTGGGTCCTAGCTCTTTTATCCATCTTAGTTTCTCCAATAATAGCCCCTTCTGCAATTCACTTTGTCAAGTTGGGGGGGGGAAATTTTATATGTAAATTTATATGTATGCATCTTTCACCATGTGCCCCTGGCTCCCTTCCTCAGAGGTTAGTGATCAGGGGATTACAGACATTACAATTGGGAAAATCAAGTTACTAAATACTCCTGGGGACAGAGGAGACTGAAATTTTTGATAAACTTTATCCTTGAGAAAAATAAGCTGGGGACTGAGAGCAAGTTGATTTGGTACTTTTGGGAAGGGCAGCATTTGTGAAGAGAGTAAATTTCTTCTGCACAGCCACAGGTGGGGGCACCAAAAGAAATTCTCGTAGGTTTTTAAAAATTTAACTTTTTTTTTTAAAGATTTTATTTATTTATTTTACAGAGAGATAGAGAGCACAAGCAGGCAGAGTGGCAGGCAGAGGGAGAGGGAGAAGCAGGCTCCCCAGTGAGCAAGGAGCCTGATGCTGGACTTGATCCCAGGACCCCGGGGTCCTGGGTTAAGGCAGCCACTTAACCGACTGAGCCACCCAGGCACCCCTTTAAAAATTTAACTTTTTATTGAAGTATAATACACAGAAGAAAGCATAAATCCTACGGGCACACCTCTAAGGATTTTAACTAAGGAATGAAACTATGTTAACGGTACACAGCATTACTGGCTTCCCAGAAGCTTCTCTTCCACTCACTACTCTCCCACCCCTCAAGGTAACATGCTTCTAACAACATAGATTGATCTTCCCTGTTTGGGGACTTTATATACATGAATTATATATACACTGTGTATTCCTTCATAGTACATATGAAAGAATCTAGTTTCTTTACCTCAATATTATGTTTGTGGGATTCATATTGTTTTCATTCTCACAGCTATGTAAGATCCCATTGTATGGATATCCCACAATTTACCCATTTTACTGCTGATTAGCATTTGCGTAGTTTCATTTCAGAGCTATTACAAATTATCACGGACATGTGTATGTGTTCCTGATGGATATATTCCTAGGACTAAAATTACTGGGTCACAGTATGCAAACTTCCAGCTTTGGCAGTTACTAGCAGTTTTCCAAAGTAGTTGTACCAATATACACTCCCAACAACAGTATGTGAAAGGTCTGTTTCCTCATGACCGCACCGACATTTGCTACTATCTTCTTTTTTAGCCTCATGGTAGGTATGGAGTGGCATGGCATTGTAGTTTTAATTTGTATTTCCTTGATGATAAATGAAGTTGGATACCTTTTCAAATACATATTGTCCATTTGGATATGCTTTTCATATCCTATTTAAGACTATTATTGCCCACCTTTCTTTTAGGTTGTCTGTCCTTTTCTTACTGATTTGTATGATTGATTTGTATGATTCTTAATGATTTGTATATTCTGGAAACAAGTCCCTTGTTGGATATATGTATTACAAATATCATCTTCCACTCTTGTGAATTGTCTTACCATTTTTTAGTGGTATCTTTTAAGGAAAGGAAGTTCTTAATGTTACACATTATCAAATTGTCCAAATTACCAATTTATTTTACTAATAGTTAATATATTTTATGTTCTATTTTGAAAATTTGTACTTATGCTTTGGTACTTATAAAGTTTTGTAGCATCTTCAAGATGAGGAGAATGATATTTCCATCCCCATTGTATGTCTGCTTAACCACCAAGCTTGCTGACCTATCCCAGTGCTATGAATTTGAGAGGAAATTTTGAGCACTGGGAGGAGATGGTACAGAGAGCAGAGACTGTGGATCCTGACTGATCCTACAGACCTCAAGTTGGGATCACAGAGAGTAAATGAGATTGAGACCTACAGACTTGTCATAGAACACCAAAACATGGGGCAACAAGTATGTGTGTATCAGGTATGTGTGTATCATCACTGCCAGCCAGTAGTCAGCTGATAGATGCAGCAAGTCCTGCAAAGAACTATCAAAACATGGGGAGCTGCTTGGGATTGAATTTCTCCTCAGTGGGGCCTGTCAGGGAGCCCCATGTGTCCTCACTGACAAGTAGCTAGATAAGCCACAATGACCTACAGAAAGGGGACAACAACTTTACCACACTCATGCATTTGGGAGATCACATATTTCCCTTGTTGAGCTCCTGACCCCACCATCAGAAAAGCAAGAATATGGAAGAGAAAGAGGTGTGTGTAAAGTGAGTTGGAACCACACAGGTCTCGTCTACTCTACCCTGGAGGGGGCGTGAGTGTTTTTAAATTAAATATGAGATTAATGTTTTTTTAAAAGATGTATTTATTTATTTGAAAGAGAGAGCACAGCAGGGGCCAAAGCGGGGAGGAGAGGGAGAGAAGCAGACCCCTTGCTGAGCACAAAGCCCTACACAGGGCTCAATCCCATGACCCCAAAATCACGACCTGAGCCAAAACCAAGAGTCAGACACTCAACCAACTGAACCACCCAGATGCCCAGATGCCGAAGATTAATGTTTTAAATGAAGAGAACTAAATCGCAGTACCTGGAATTAAAGTTTTAAGAACCAGGGAGGCTACTACCCCAAAACAATGAAGTTTGACCAAGTACCAAGTGTAGAAAATATGAAAATTTCATGCTTATGCATCTTGAGATTCTCCAACTGGCTACACATCTTTGTTTCCCCTGGTATCTTTAGACAGGGATTGTTTAGTATTCATCTCTCAAGCCTTGGTGTCTAGCGTACAATAGTACATGGAACATAAGATGTATGTGAGTGAGTGAATGAATGCATGCAAACTGTAAGAACTACATAACTGTTCTAATTCTCCGTAAGTACAGAGTCTCCTTCAGAGAGAGAAAGTTATGGTTATGTCCGTAAAATCTCTACAACTTTCACCCTACAGAGAGAGCTTTCAATCCACTTTCACCTCTTTTTCTAATCAGCTCTCCTTCCCCCTCAATAAACAGATACATAACTCTACTAGGAGGAAGAAGGACTTCCCCTTAAATGTTACATGACTTTGAGCTGCATTCCTAAGAGGCTCTCTCAGCCTCTAGAATCCTTTCCCTCTCTTTTAGGGATCTCCCTGCTCTGTCTCCAGCATTCTACTCAATTTCCTCATCCACCATCTCCTCCCATTTCTCCATAAATAACCTCGTAACTCTGCCCCTCTGGCCTTACCATGTACCAGTTCTGTCCATGTTTGAAGCCACTTCCCCACTCAGCATCACTGTTGGGAATCTGGGAGAGAGGAATGGGAGGCAGTATTTCTTTCCTTCTTTCCTCAAATATCTATACAAGTGGGGATAGGAAGGTAAAAAGATAAATGGCCAGAGTCTTGCTCTTTTTTATTCCTAGCCTCTTGTGAACCCATCTTCCACCAAGTATTTCAGTAACATGGCCATGCTGCATTTCAGCTGTTTCGTTCCCACCAGCTGTGCTACCCTTTCTCCTGACACCTCCAACAGTCCTTGTGCTTGGAGAGCTAGCTGCAAGTACTTTTGTCTGGCATCTCTCTCTCTCTCTCTCCATATATATATATTTGATATATATAGTTTATATATATTTATCAGAGTTCTGTGAAATTTTGCACTGATTATTTGCTCTTTCTAAAAATATCCAGACTTTTACTTTTTAGCCATTAAAAAAAAAGGGGGAGGGTTTGAACTGAATCAATTCTTGTATTTTGGCTAAGCCATATCTGGACACAGCAGCTATAGAGAAACTGAAAAAGGAAGAAAAGAATCCTGTCCATGCCCTGTTTCCTGGTTAGGAAGGAGCAGACTTTAGAGAAGGGAAGCCAAAGCATGCTTTGTAACAACCTGAAAATACGCCCTTGAAGGCTAAGGCCTAAATTGTACCCGTAAAATGGTAAACAAGCTTGACTGTGGCTTTGGCTTATTTACAATAAGGAATAAATCAATTGAAGCATTTTACATTCTTATTCATACCTAAACAGAAAGAGACCATAAAAAGCCTTTTCAAAGAATTGGGGCAAATGGAAGAATTTAATAAACAGAAAAGAATTTTAAAAATGAGGAAATAAAAAATAAGCAGCAAAAATATTTTTTAAAAAGCTAAAAACATTTTAGAAAGTGTCAAAAAAATAATTACTAACCCCACATGGCTGGGACAAATGAATTGCAATCAGAGGCCAGAGTACAAAAAATAATTATTCATTACCTTGCAGTGTAGCCTCTGCTACATGTTATTTCAGCAACTAAATTGTGCAGTAATGACAATGAATTCTAAACTTAAATCTGTAATAATGTGGCAGAGTCATTCCTATCCCATACTTGCAAAAAATAATAATAATTTAAAAAAGAAAAAGTGGTTAAATGGAATCAAGACTAGTCCTAGAATCTAATGTCTTTGAACAGGGCTGGGCAGCAGGCTGCTCACTGACGTAGCTGCTGAATACAGTTTTTAGGGCGACAGAGGAAAAACTCTGAGGTAGCCCAGTATTTTTCACCCCTGCTGTTTTTTCTGATAATGGGCTCACACTCATTCCCTTTCCATAAGTAAAGTATCAGACTGTTTACTCATTCCACCCTCTGGCCAAGAAGTACAAGTTCATGATGGAAACCATACTCTAGGCAATGGATTTTGGCTATTATTTATCAGGATGTGAAATGAGAAAATATGCAACTGACAAAGCTTAGAAACAAAATCAGGAATGAACAAAAATAAATCTGAAAACAGACTGTTTAACAGTTTGTTATTAGAAACAAATTCTGGCTACCCCAAAGCTATTTGCTAAGCCCACCCTCAGCTTCCTCCACACCCACTGGCCTGCTCTGCCCCCAGGTCTCTG